TAAAAAAAAACTATTATAATATATGTTGTACTCAGTTGCATAGATGTTAAAATAAACTTAGCAATTAAATTTTTGAATTTGCTCCAATAGACTTTCCGTAGCAAACTTGATAATCAAAGTCACAATAAAAAAAAGAATAATAATAACGGAAAAATCTGACCTTTTGCAATGGCAATGACAAATTGCTGATCTTACAATATTCCTGGAGAGGCGAATGCTTCTTTCCTAGTTGGATCCACTTGTCTTATATAAGCGACGTCAACCAAATCGGAGGATAACAATCCGACGTTCAATAACAAGCCCCAAATGCGAGACAGCCAGTATAAAGGTGGAAGAATAGGTTCGAACGAACGAATAGGTAAATTCACGAAGCCCTAAAATAGCACGAATAATAAATGTCTTTTCTTTTTTTTTGAGATTACCACACCTAAGGCTCACACAAAAGGTTTAAATTGTTGAAAGTAGGGTAAAAAACTTACTCAAGGATATAGGGCGGCTTCAATTGTAGTCCAATCTGGTATCTGGGATAAATATCTAAATGTACATAGATATATATTTCAGTGGTTCGTTAGAACTATCCTATTGGCTATAATATGAGCATCCTGTAGATTAAGGAAATAATAGTTAGAATAAGAACCACGTGGGCCAGAAAAGATTACTTACAGATCAATTGCTTTAGAATCCGACATAAGTCGTGAACTGTGATTATAGTCACACCAATACATAAATCACATTCAAAAGTGAATTTCGATAAAACTCCCAACTATATTGGAATGCACAAATCGGCACAGAACAACGAAATTCGCTTAACAACAACTGCCTGAATACTCGATAGGAAAAATCCTCGAACCTCGACCAGCAACCTTTTTGTGTGTCCAAAGAAATGTAGATAACTAACGCGGGGACAGCGTATGCGGAAGCAGAAGCATTCACGTTACATTTTTAATAAAAATGTTCTTTTTATTGAACGCTCTGAGCTAATGAACTGAATTAATTAACTAGAATTGTAATTATTTATATTTACTTTAAAATGCGATTAGAAAAGGAAAAAAAAATGAGTAAAATAAAAGTGCGAAGTAACAAGTTTACAGTTTGAAAATATCTGGAGGGGCGGAGTTCCAGAGTCCTCCTTCACGAGCCGCCACTGATTATTATACAAAAAGAATAAGGTATTTAAAAAACTCCTGCCATATTTTGCATATACACATATTTAAAAAAACCTGTTAAATTGAATCATAAAGAAAGGAACTAGTGCTGGCAACTGAAATCGGTTTTTTGGATAGTTGGTTAATCGGTTTCGGATAATTCGGATTTTTAGGAAACCCGAAAACCGTTTATTCGATTCTTCAAATATCCGATAATTCAAATAACCGATTCTTCAAATAACTAATTCTTCAAATAACCGATTAATCTATAATCTGTTCATTCAAACATCCGAATAATCGGATTCTTTCTTTATAGCCAATAATACTATAATATAGTCTTAGTATTACGTAGTTATTGGCTACATAGTACATACATAGTAGATACCTACTACAAATATTAGGTTGAACTATTTAGAAAAATACCATTTTTTTTATATTTTTATCCTGGTACAAAGACACAGACTGATAAAAAAAATCATCCATACCCACATACACCAAACACCAAACCACCAAATCCATTTATATAAATAATAAATTGAAGAATCACAGTTTATTAGGTGTAACTGTTTTAACTATTTTAACATTTTAACTTTCATCATTAATTTTAACTTTAAAATTTAAAATGTGTGAATATGAGAATAACACAGTATAGGTAAGTATCCCGTCAGTTGTTCAAAACACCGATTTTCAGTTATCTGGTTTTCGGGTAACCGTTATTCGGTTATTCAAATAACCGGTTTTTGAATATCCGGTTTTAACCACTATTCGGCTACCCGGTTTTATCTGAAATCGGTTTTTACAGAACTCGCTTAACCGGTTTCACTTTTTTCCGGTTCTTGCCAGCACTAAAGGGAACGCATTAGGCGGTCGCGGTCTCGTCGCATCGCAGCCCATGCTACTCTCGATCGCGCGCGGTGGAGTTCCTTCCCATGTTTTATAATGTATGCATTCGCACTAGACGTTCCCGAGCTCGTCTCGCTCGCATCGCGTTCTCCTCTGATCTTTTTCAAAGAATCTCGAGAGACCGCGATGCGATCGAGACGAGCTTCCTCTTCCATTAGTCATTTTCTTAACTACTAAAACAAAACCGCAACTATTTAAAGGAGAGCGCGAGCAGGATTGTGTGTAAAAGACCGCGCCATGCGACAGGACAGCGACCGCCTAATATGTTCTCTGCTTTATTGTTCCAATGTGTAAAGCATTAATTCGAAACTTTAAAATACGCTTCAGTTTGGGCCTCATCGACTGAAGAGCCTTATATCTCTGAAACTATTAAGTTTTTGAATAGTCATTTGACAAAAATTATTTAGAATTGAACAATGTGTCGGATAAACCTTGTTACAAAGTTCCTGCCAACGAAAAATTAGTTTCGACTTCAACGCCATCTCCAATTTGCTCTGAAAATAGAGCTGCTCCTTGACTAAGCCACCGATGAGCTTATTTTTTCAAAATTAAGATATCTCTTTCCGTTGCCGAGATACGAGGCTGAAGACTTTTATGTGGAACCCTCAGTATATTGGAGATAGAACTGCAATTTGACATCTTGCAGCTTTTTATATACATACATATCATTATTTGGACTAAGATAAGTTTGGCTCAATCAACAAACTTTTGTCTTTAATTTGGATAACTTTCGACCTTTTCAAGACACTCTGTAAGCTATTATTAAAGAATATATTGAGTTTGAGATATACATCTTCAATGGTTTTCGAGCAATGCACCAAAAACTGCGTAAGAGTTGTAGGAAAAAAATCGACTATCTTTTTTTGGTTATTTTCAGTAGAAGGATTTAATGCTGAAAATATGTTATAAAATCGCTTCTACATCCTATACATGCCTTAATCAATTGTTGCTACTTTTCGTTCTATAGGGTGCTAAAGTTGAAAAAATATTTTCTATTTTTGTCTGTATTTAGTATGTATGGACCGATTGTTTTGAAAATTTGTAGTTTTACGTTTTTGAGGAGGCAAATACGAATATGCAAACAGTGTTGGGGTCACGTCTAGAGGGCGCTAGTTATACTATCCTATCAATGTAAAAATCTGTCTAACTTTTTGTATTTTACAATTTTGAATTTTTTAACTACAAATTATTGAACTAGGTTCAATTCTAAATAAAAAAGGTGAACTAGTTACAAATCGATAAACTAAACCGTTTTCAAGATACAGACGTTTTAAGTTTTTGAGATTCAGCGGGAATTAAATTAGAAAATTAGCAGGTCTTAAGATACCAAGCCTGAATTAAGAATTAAGACAAACATTCAAAGACCTCCTTTCTGAGGTCGTTGCAAACATTACAGCAACTGAAAATTTTATTATGCATATCTTAACAAATTATTAACCACCAGCGGCTTCAATGCACTTTCTTAGCCTTTTTATTTAAATTTTGTCTGATGTTAAATAAAGTTCTATGTTGTTTGATAATACGAACTGATTCTTGAATATTTGTCCACAGTTGTTTATGGCCATTAATAATATTTTTGTAAACTTAAGATTTGAGATATCCCCAAAAGTCAAAATCCAACGAATTTAAAAGGGGGCTACGTGCAGGCCAAGGTACTCCGCTACCGCGTCCAATCCAACGGTACGGGAAATTTTTATTATATTCTCTTCTCTAAAAAATAACGACAAGGAAAAAACTATTTCCTAATCAAATTGAGTAGAATTGGCAGAAACAATATGGTATTGTAGTGACAGCTGTCAATTTATTATATCGATGCCTACCACTCTGGAAAAAATAATTTTCTAATTTAATTCCCGTCGAATCTCAAATACTTAAAACGTCTGTATCTCGAAAACAGTTGAGTTTATCGATTTGTAACAAGTATACTTTTTTTATATAGAATTGAACGTAGTTCAATAACTTCTAGTTAAAAAATTCAAAATTGTAAAATATAAAAAGTTAGACATATTTTTACATTGACAGGAACTAGCGACCCCTAGACGTGACTCAAACACTATTTACATATTCATATTTGCCACCTCAAAAAAAGTTTAATTTTTTAAAACAATCGGACCATATATACTTAAAATATAGCAAAAAATCGAAAATATTTTTTCAACTTTAACACCCTGTAGAATGAAAAGGAGCAACAATTGATTAAGGCATATTTGGCTCAATCGCTATATTTTGACGTTAACAATCTGCCATTGAGCTGTACCATTATTAATGAGTCACCCTGTATATTCAACTGTAAACATATACTGTAGGTATACATAATTAATAATATTAACTAAAACAAAATAAAATATTAAATAAATAAATTCATTTATTTGCTTTAATAAATTGCGGTTTAAGTTGTTCTCCTCCAGCAATATCTAGAAGTTTCAAATTTAAATCTACACCAATAGCTTTAGCTGCCAAAAGGACAGTTCTGCAAAGGCTACTTCCCGGAGTGTAGTAGAGGCCGACTGACATTTTTACTGTGAATAAAGTGAAAATGAAAGATTTATAAATACAAATATTTCTTTTTTGTCTAATCTATGTCTGATAATTAATTTTAGTTCATATAATTATACCAAGTAATATCATTTTTTAACTAAAGCCTATTTAGGTACTTAGTGCCTGTAACACTTTGAAGGATTTCCTATCATTTTATTTCATTCAGTGCCAATATAATATTTACTTATTTTCCAATAAACATAATGATACATTACGAGAAAAACAAATCAGTGGATAATAAATATTAAATTAAATAAAGTAAACATTAACAGCAAATATACTCTAAAACTAATTTACAAAATTGATATATTATACCCAACGAGTAATCTGTGTTCGATGAAATCAGACATACATAACGGGAAGAAATGAGTTTTGCACCTTGGAGTTTTTGGCCTTCATAAATGTTTACAAGCCACGCGACCGCCGAGCTTAGGCAACCAACATTGCAGGTCTGGTACTGGTAACAAAATATCACTAAATCTTGGCGTCATCAAACCGTAACGTTTACGTTCAAGATAATGCGATCGCTGATTGGTTGAATAAAATATCGTGAAAAATTGCATCAATCGCCAGCCGGTGGAAGAGAGTAATGTGTTTTGATGTAGTCGTGATCTTATTGTTTTAATTTTACCTAAATTTAATTGCCACCATGAAGAAAATAAAATTACTGTTTTAAACAAAATTACTGCTCACGTGTCGTGTAATCCTTTATGAAGGTTGAGGAGGAGGTGGCGGCGGTGGTAGTGGTATCGGTGGGGGGCGGTGGGTGGTATTGTGACCATCGTGGTTGTTCTGATATGTTCTGTTGTTATTGCGAGTATCTTAACAAGCACCTCGATAGCATGAAAGGTTCAATAATATTATATGCATAAATGTTCGCTTTTAGTAATAAGGTAGGTGCGCCTAATAAGGCCCACTTAATTTAATGCTTCCCAAAAAATGTATGCAAAAGATTTTTTTTACATTTTTATGTAAGAGATACTTTCCTTAGTGTTTGAACTTCACGTAAAATTTGAATTAATAATAAACTCTTTAGTAAATTTACTTAAAAAGCAATTCCTCCTTTTAATTACTAGTGGGCCTTATTTAGACAAGCGGTCCTAAAAAGGCCCACTTATGTTCGAAATAAGGCCCCTATAGGAAAAACAAATTTTAATCAAAGTTAATTTTACAAAAATTAAACCCAAGTTTGTTACAAGACTTTATTGATTAAAAAACAGAAATCTCATAAAGAAATTAGCATTAAGAACACGATGGGCATAAAAATGCTGGTTCTACATCATCTTTTGTAAGGCCCACGCATTCTTCATGGACATATTTGAGACACATAGAACAGAGTCTCATATCCACTATTTTATCCTTGTCACATAGATGACAATACCATTTCTCAATTACTTTAATTGTCTTTTTATTTGTTTCTGTTTTCGCTTTTTCTTCAAACAAAGTTTTCGTGACTCTTTGAGCTCTATAATTCAAAGACTTCTTCCTTTGAGTTATTTTCTGTTCATCTATGTCAGGCGTTGGTAGAATGTCTTTAAAACTGCCCTTATGTGTATCTTCGGATGTTTCGATAACTGGTCGTGAAATGTTTTCTTCGTTTTCAAAAGATGATGTATTTTGAAGTGAATAATCGCTGTCATCTGACGATGAGCTAGATACCTTACGTTATCGATTGCGTCTATTCATACCACTTGGTCCAGGCTCAGCCTCTGCGAGATTCAAATTTTTTGTAGCAAGAAGAGTTTTATTTTTATTTTGAGATTTTTGTTGTGTAACACCAATCTCGTTGGAATGGGCTGTTATTTTCTTGGGTTCCTTCATTTTCTTTATTTTCTACGTTAACTAATCGTCTAGCGATAATTTCAGAGGGTGCAAATGCCGTATCTGGTATGACATTGGGATCATATGGATAAATGCCTGTAGCACGAAATCCAGCCATTATGTTGCTTGGGCTTGCTGCTTTAGACCATACTTTGCTAAAAATTTGTCCAAAACTAGTTTTGTTAATTGCGTGGTTTGGTTTATTAGTCCAACAAAGTAATACCTCATCATCCCAGTAGGATTCAAAAGCTGCAAAAGCCGCTTTATCCATGGGCTGCAGCTCATGGGTCGTATACTGGGGAGGCAGAATAAAACAATATGATTCGTTTCCGCAGCCTCTACAATGGTATAGTCAAGATGTGACGATGCCCCATCGAAGATAAGAAGTACTTTTCCAGGTGGTTTAAATTTTGAAATATGATATATCCATTTCACAAATGTTTGTGTGGTCATGCTGCCCTTTGTGGTCATTTCAGTAACAAAACCAGGGGGTAAATGCATAGACCATTCCGGTTTTTGTCTAATTCCCTTCATCAAAATCATAGGCGGAATTGCTTGACCTAAGGCTTTGCCACAAGCAACTACAGTCACATTTTCCGCATGTTCTTTGGCAATCATATGGACTCTTTTAGAACCTTTCTTGGCAAAAATAGTTTGCTGTTTATGTAAATTCAGACGGCAGCCCTTTTCATCCATGTTAAATATGGATAGGGGTTGGTCAAGTATTCCTGTTTCAGTCATGACATCTTTAGTTTTTTAAAATAATCATTAACGATGTATTTGTTCAGTTTAGCAGCTCTAGCTTACCTTACCCATTTTCTACCAGCCATGTTGAATTCCCTCTTTTTCAACGAAGGAATATACAGATCGTCTAAGACCCTTGTATGTTATGGGCATGCCAACATTGACTAATCTTATTATTCTATCCCGACGGTTATTTTCTTGGTCTACACTTAGCACACACGGACGTCCAATCTTTTTTGTAGCATCTCTGGTAGCCAAATGATTTCGTAAAGTTCTTCTTGGAATTCCGAATGTAGCACTTGCTGTCCTAACTGCCATACCATTCCGAACAGCTTCCATTGCTTCCCTCAAATGGCCTTCCGTCCATAATGCCATTTTTCTGGGCATTTTGTATTGCCTGCAATAAATTAAAGGAAATTGTACACCTAGATGATTGTGGCCTGCAAACATAGATGAATATTCTTCATGATGGGCGCAAAATAATCGGCGTTAAAATTTTTGCCTAAGTTCCAGGGGTAGGTGGGCCTTATTACGGTACTGGGCCTTTTTAGGCGCACCTACCTTACTATAATTAAGGGGTCAATTATATTCAAAGATTAATTAATATTATTAATAAATAACGGGATTGCAACCGATTCATACTCGAATTTTGGTATAATGGATGTAAGTAGGTAGCAGTACCAAATTTTGAAATATTTTTTTATCTTTTCGTTATAAATCTCAAGCTACCTAGTTGTCGTTATGATGGCACACTAATTTTATATACCTGACAGAAATGTCAATTGCTCAATAAATTTATGAAATATGTATTTTTAAATGAACATATGATGTGCATTTATATAAAGCATCCTCCAATGTTTGATCATGATAATATGATAACATGCAATACTGATATGCCGCAAAATCATTGACGTTTCTTGTTGATATAGATATGATAACATATTTCGGAGTAATATTAATCTACTTGTTGGTTATCTTTTCCGGCTAAAATCAATAAATTTTAATTTTAATTCCATACCGGAATGATCTGCGGAAGTCAAACAAGTAAACGCTCTTAATCTGTATATCATAAAAATATTGAATAATTATTTTATAAAGATAGTACTTTTTAGTAAATACAGTAAGGCTGTATTAAGTTCAAGGTTAAACGAAGCTCATAATATATGTATATTTTGTAGTTGTAGGAAGCAAATCTAAACCATTATTGTTAATTCTTAAAGCGTTAAATTTAACCTATTTTAAATGTTAATGTGTCGTTCTTGGTGGATAACATAGCTTTTATAGAGATAGTTGATTGTAACAAATGTATTAAAACTGCCTCAAAACAAGATTAGATCGTTTTAAAATTCAGAACGAGGTGAATTTATAAAAATATTTAGATTATCTCTTCCAGTTCCTAATAAGCAACATCTTTCATCTGTCATCTTCTTCTTTGTCCTTTTTTATATGTTCGTATATTTTTTTTGAGATTCAAGTTTTCACAATCTTTAAGAGTTTTGACATTTTCACTATTAAGTTCTTTCTCAATATTTTTCCAACACTTTCTTTTTGTTAAAATTACTGTCTCTTTTCTTGTTCTCTAATATCGTTTCATATTTTTTAACTAAGCACAATAGAACAAGTTGTTCTTAGAGAAATAAAGTTTGCAAATCTATTTACACACGATATTATCTATAATTGAATTATAGTAGGATCATATTCGATGCAAAGTAATAAATCATTGCCTGTCAATGGATCCAGTGCCATACGCTTTTAAGGGTTTTAGAAATTGAATAATTTCTTTGTACATTATGAAGGGACGAAGGGATCAGTTCACGTCTGGCGCCCTTGTTCCTACAAAAATTCCTTTATTCTCATAAACTATTTATTTTAAACGTAATTTATTATAAATCCAATTTGTTTTTTAATTTCCACATATGTACTACATTTTACCTCTGTACGCGCCACTGTTGTTTACTTTTTTTTTGGAGGGGCTCTCTATTGTACGATCGAGCTCGTCAGTATTTGACGTATAACCGACCACTTCGTACACTCGATGCACCTGGGCGACTACAGTTACTACCAGAACACAGTGCGTATGCAGCGATATTTCAGATTTAACATTGAATTTCATTTTAAATTTGAAATGGTTCATCTTACGCCTCCTAAAAATGATGACACGATTTTCCTTTGCTAAAAGACCGACAACTTTTTGCTCTACTTTGCATCGAATACGATCCTACTATAGTAATTAATTGTTGGCCTATATCTGATTATATCTTTATAGATAAAAAATCGATAAATAATTATTATCCTACCGAGCATATCATATCTCTCAAACATGTTTATACTTGTTTATTTTCAGCAATATAATATGAATCTAATCACTCGTAAATCATTAAATTATATCCACCTATAATTTATTCAATTTG